TCATCATACATGACTACTCCAATTTCTACCTATATAATTTAACTTGCACTATTTTTCATCCAAATCACGTGTTAACGATCCACGTGACATGGTAGACATGAAGGATTAGAAATATCACGCTTCTTAATATAGTACCTGATTTAGAAAAAAATAGTACCACATTTTCCTGTATGTAGTACCTGTTTTTAGTCGATCAGTACCTACTTTTGTCATGGATAATTGATTATTTCAACTGTGGTCAACATTTTAAAAAAGTGGTACCAGTCATAGAGTTAGTCAGTACCCGTTTCTGGTATATTAGTACCACATTTCTGGTCTTTTGTACCACTTGTAGTGAACACATAGAAACACCGAATATCGGTCGAAAATTATGTTCATACGACCCATAATCACTCTCAAATTAGTTTATATGATATTGAAAATTTAGTTAATTAAGTTTAATCGTAAAATGGTCATGAACTCTACACACTAATGAGAAAACACCACTACTACACTTCATTTTATGAAATGAAACACTTCATCTCATAGAATCATCATACATGACTACTCCAATTTCTACCTATATAATTTAACTTCCACTATTTTTCATCCAAATCATGTGTTAACGATCCACGTGACATGGTAGACATGAAAGATTAGAAATATCACGATTCTTAATATAGTACCTGATTTAGAAAAAATAGTACCACATTTTCCTGTATGTAGTACCTGTTTTTAGTCGATTAGTACCTACTTTTGTCATGGATAATTGATTATTTCAACTGTGGTCAACATTTTAAAAAAGTGGTACCAGTCATAGAGTTAGCCAGTACCCGTTTCTGGTAGATAAGTACCACATTTCTGGTCTTTTGTACCACTTGTAGTGAACACATAGAAACACCGAATATCAATCAAAAATTATGTTCATACGACCCATAATAACTCTCAAATTAGTTTATATGACATTGAAAATTTGGTTAATTAAGTTTAATCGTAAAATGGTCATGAACTCTACACACTAATGAGAAAACACCACTACTACACTTCATTTTATGGAATGAAACACTTCATCTCATAGAATCATCATACATGACTACTCCAATTTCTACCTATATAATTTAACTTCCACTATTTTTCATCCAAATCACGTGTTAACGATCCACGTGACATGGTGGACATGAAAAATTAGAAATATCATGATTTTTAATATAGTACCTGATTTAGAAAAAATAGTACCACCTTTTCCTATATGTAGTACCTGTTTTTAGTCGATTAGTACCTACTTTTGTCATGGATAATTAATTATTTCAACTGTGGTCAACATTTTAAAAAAGTGGTACCAGTCATAGAGTTAGTTAGTACCACTTTTTGGTAGATTAGTACCACATTTCTGGTCTTTTGTACCACTTGTAGTGAACACATAGAAACAACGAATATCGGTCGAAAACTATGTTCATACTACCCATAATCACTCTCAAATTAGTTTATATGACATTGAAAATTTGTTTAATTAAGTTTAATCGTAAATTGGTCACGAACTCAACTCATTAATGGAAAAACAATACTTAATACACTTTTGCTACCTGTTTTTCTTGAATTAGTACATGTTATTCTTATATGCAGTACCTGAAATTGAAAATGTTCTCGTTCAAACCATAGCGCCGCTAAGGTGGTTAGCGGCGCTAACCTAGAAAGCCTCCCAGCCTCTGCTCATCGCTAAGAAAAGCTAGCGGCGCTAACATCCTAGCCTTAGCGCCGCTAAGATGGGTTAGCGCCGCTAACACCTGAGCAGCACTCATTTTTGCCCCTTAGTAAAAATTAACCAAATTTTTATAAGTTGTACTGCAGACCCGATATCCGGTACTATAACGACACAAAACAGGTACTGCTTTACTCTATGACATGTACTAATTTTGAAAATGACCGAATTTGAAGTAATCCTTTTTTTCGTTCTTTCTACAAGGCAGGTATTAATTGATCAATAACTGGTACTTAATAGAATAATAAATGGTACTAATTCAGAAATAACTGGTACAAATTGATCAAAAGACATCATCCGGAAAAAAACAAAGTACAATTGACCAAATGCAAAATACACCTAGGCAAAAACAAAATACACTTGGGCACAAAAAAAAATAATATACACATGCCCTAAGAACAAAATACATGAGTGATCTAGATACGTTCTTTGCACGTACGTCGATTGTGTCCACGACGACCACAACGCTTACACCGCCTAACTGCAACATCAACTTGTGAAGGAA